AAAACTGCACATTCCAGGGTGGCCTTTTATTGTGGGCAGTATAAGGTACACCTGTGCACTACTCATGATGTCAGATCAGCATCTTGATGTGGCACACCCGTGAGGTGGGCTAGATTATCTCAGCAAAGTACGGGTGCTCACTATCACACATTTAGACTATTTTGTGAAAAATGTTTGAGAGAAATGGTTATATTGTGTATCTGGAATGAATTTTAGATCTTTAAGTCCATCTCATGAAAAATCAAAGCAGAAACAAAGGTGTTGCGTTTATATTTTTGTTGAGTGTATATATTGACTCCTTGCAGCTGCCTGTTAACTGGAGCTTCATGAGCTCTTGTCCTCCCCAGATAGATTATAAGAATCTAAATGGTCATCACTTCGTTTTTCTTTTTTTTCTTTTCTTTTCTTTTCTTTTCTTTATTTCAGAGATTACTTTTCAACTCAGTGACCTAAAACAAAAGGAACTTTATTTTTTTTTACCAAACATGTTCTTTGTTTTCCTTCATCTCCTCCTTCTTTCTTATTTATAACCAACTTCAGAGTCCTCTCCAAACATCTTCATCCCACACATCCTTGCCTTTAACCACCACTCCAACCACCTGAATGACCACTTCTGTTCATCCTTATCCTCTAACCGTCTTTCATTTTTGTGTGAAGATCAAAAATATCAACAAATCTAATTAAGAACAAAGAGGCTGATCAGGGGTGACCTTGAGCTTGTCTGATTATACGTCATTTGTTTGTTCTCTCACTCGTTGGTATTTTTACTGAAAGGTTTCATTGATTCTGTTACATGCAATAACCACTGGATATATTTTTCTTCCTGTTACTCAGAGTAAATAGTTATTAAATTAAATATAGTTGTGGAAATAAAAAAACATATAACTAGACAAATTTCTCATCTGTCAAATAGACAATGGTGCAGCATTCCTGTGGCAACAAATTGAGGCATCTAGTGGTCTGAGTGACGCACTGCGAGGGTTTCCACTAAAGTACCCGTGCTGATCTCATTGTGTGCCTGTGTAATATTTAG